TGAAAATTTTTGTTAGCTTTTTCACTTTTTTTAAATTATATTTACAACAAGGCTTTCAAGCTGCCTATCTCACAATGAAAAAAATTTATCTGAGAACAAGAGCAGCTTCTACCTGCTTGCTGGTCTTTTAGAAGACGTTGGCAAAACAAGTGAGTCCCAGCTATGTCATTAATTTTTTTAGGAATTGCCACCTATCCTTCACACCTGGGAAGGTAACAGTCTTTGCTTTTTTCCACTTGGAAGGCTGATCATTTTTTGTCAGTATTCTTTCTTTAGTAGGAATGAAAAGAATGTTATTTAATGTGTGTATGAGATTGTATTTGCCTTGACCTTTTATAATTCCATTTTCAAGTGTTAACATTACAAATACTGTCATGCTTATAAGTGTATAGGTATTATCTGTGCATAAGTATTATAACTGGTTTACATTGTACAGTAAAAGAAGTCCCATATTTCAGTACACTTAACATTTCTGCTCTCCTGGCCCTCAGTGTTATCAGATGCTGGGCATGGCTCTCAAACACTTCACTTCTGTAATACACCTGTGAGGATTCTTTCAAAAGAGGTTGTAGAAGAGATCTGCTAATTATCAGTGCTTCCCACAGAAATGGTTGTCCTTCAGTGAAGAGTCTATCAAATCAAAGGGTAGAACGGTTGCCACCACAGTGTATGCTAACATGTATGACTAATGGTGCAAGTGTAATTTAAACTGCCCGTACAAGACATCATTTCACTAGCTACAAAACGTTCACTATTTGCTAATTACAACTAGCAGGTTCTTAGCATGCTGATATTTTTAATTACAGCTGGTACACTAGGAATTTCTTTTGATTTAAAAAAATAAAATAAAATATATATAGATAGAGTTCGGAAGACAGACAGTGCCCTCTCCTGGACAGAGGCTCGCATAATAGTAGTTTGCAAAATGCTCCAAATACTGCCAATTAGAAAAACTGGACACAAAAATTGTATTCCAGGCTACTAGACAACACACTCTGAAACAAAATTTTTCTCAGTTTAGATGTCAAAGAGGTTTTGATTAATTTAATTTGAACCTAGCTGGCTGGAGTTGACAGTGCATCTTTATTACAGGAAGCAGCAGTAACATTTAGTGTTGTTTATTGTAGTTTGTTTGTTTTTTTTTTTTTAAATCAGCTCAATAAAGCAAACTCGTGTTCAGAAGTACAGATGGAGGAGACAAATGCCATTGCAGTCTACTTTTCCAGATATTTTTCTACAGGCCTTTATTGTATTATTTCAAGCTAAAAATTGAGAATTAGAAGCTCATTTTTCTCTTTATCCTTTCTTGAGGTTTTGGTTTTTGTTTTATTTTAGGTTTTAAGTGCCTTTGTTTTCCTTAACAATTATAATCTTATTCTTCTGAACATATTTAAGGGCCATAAAAAAGCAGCTTACCAAGGACCCAAACTGAGACAGAATATGCTCAAGAGTTTATAGCATCTTATTGCAAAGTAGGGAGACAAAGAGAGAGAGAGAAGCGTGGATTCCTTAGTTAGTTAATTTAAACACATATTTAAATTCTTTCAAAAATAGACTATAAAACCAATATAATCCAACATTTACAGGAAAATTTAAATTGTTGGTTTAGAAAGCTGAACACATCCATTCATCAAACTTGTATGGTTTGCAATTCATGTCCACAGTTTTTCCCACCGTAGAAAACAGAGAGAAGTGGTTATTTAAGCTTAACTGTGAATGATTTCTATTTATCTGCTGGTGGGCTGTTTGGTACATTCGCTAAAATACAAAGCAATGTAGCTTTTCTATTTGTTTACTTAACATTTATTTATTTATTTACATTTTGCGCAATAATCTACAGACTTCTTAAAAACAGACTACCTATGCAGACCATGAGCTTATTACAGCTGCCCTGCATGCCAAAACAGTCATTTTCTGACCGCTCACTGCGAAGTTGTACTTCTACAGAAAAATGCAGCCAGCCCTACGGCACTCACATACTGCACAAGGGCATCCCTGGAAGAGAGGTCAAGATGTGTTCCCAATATATTCTACCCACGCATAATATTGCCCTTGAGTCAGCCTGTGCCTATTACTTGGATCTGCAGCTGTGAGCCGCTCTGGTCCAGACAGAGAGGAGGGACTCACCTGCAACCCAGGGCAGCTCTGTAAGCAAGCCCTGCTGCCCTGTCCAAGAGCTGGTAGCACTGATGTGCTAGACCAGGTCATTAATGGTCACAGCTGGTCATTAGCTGGTCATTGAATCTTTCTTGATGACCTGCTAATGAACTTCCCACTGACTTATTGTGGTCAGGGTAGAACATATAGGTAATTTATAGCTCAACACCTCACGCGCTAATAGCCTTTGCCCAGCAACTGTAATGGCACGCTATTGCTAAGAGACAGTACATCCTTCCCAATTTATTTTCCAGGTGTAAATATTTCATGTTGAATGGAAATTTTGAATTCGGCATTTAAAAATATGCCTAAATATTTTATTTAGCGGGGAGAGTTCCTCAACGATTTAATGAGGAAAAGGCCTTAGTCTTACAATTTCTTTTTTCTGACACTTTTCCTCCTTAACAAAATATGTTTATTTTTAAAGAAACAAACCTATACATGTTAATTATCCACCTGTAAAAGGCTTGGAGGCCCGTTCAGTACAGAAATCAGCTCTCAGTAGGTGCCTGTTAGCTGCAGGAGCTCAGAGAGCTTTGATGGTTCAGCCCCTGTGGTGCCTAATCTCTGTGATTCATGGTAAGTTGGCCAGAAGCCACAGTCCCTCCCACTGTGATCTTACCAGCTTTTAAAAGCTAAAAAGTTTCAGCTAGGCCTTCACTTGGTGAAAAGCTCTAGGAAAAGCCCAAGAAGTGGCAGTGATGCATGAGGCAGTGCTCTTCCCTCTCAGACCAGTAGGTAATGCCACAGGGGTTATCCTTTCACCAAAGGAGCCTGCTTTTGCTTAGATATGTAGGTACCTTCTCCCGTTTTGAGGGTAGCCAATATCCACAATTACTAGGTATTTCACAGCCCTGAGCGGGTGCTAGATTAGATAACTGTAGCTGATACATCTGTATTCCCTTTAAGTTTGGTATTTGCACTTTCATATGTTCATTTATCATAATTACGAGGCAGAAACAAAAAAAAAAATGTTTGTGTATATCGTACTATGCGATTGCTGTATGGAACGGGGTTTTCATCAGTTAAAGCATCCTGGAAACAACCTAAAAGTTTATCGCTGTCCATTACAGACTTTCATGCATTTAGCCCACGTTAAATGGTCTCCTAATGCCCATCTCATTCCCTGCAAATGACTTCCAGATTGCCAAAATCTTCCCCTCTGGTGCTTCAGAAAGGCATTTCCTGAGTGCTCAGTGCATAGAGTGAGGAGGCGGGTTATGAGGAAGGTTTAGCTGACCGCTGCTCCCTGAGGTGCCAAAACAGGAGCTGTGGCTGGCGTTAGAAAGCAAATTTTTGCCCTCCTACTAGAGAGCTTCAGTTTACCTTTGGTAACGTGGCTCTGAATGACAGTAAGATTATTGAAACGTCTCATGAGTCAAAGGTTCAATTTCGTACCTTTTGATGATGAGTGGGAGCTTCCTCTGCCTCCTAGTTTTGAGTACTGAGATACTCCTGTCTTAGCAGGTGCTCCTGGCAAGTGGGGATGTGGCACTGACTGAAGGTGAGTTTTCATGAAATGCCTCACAGCAAGTCAGTTGCCAAACAGCTAGAGAAAACAAGGTAGCTTGTGCTTGCCTTGGCATTGCATGTTTTGATTGCAGACATACTTGTTCTGCACCTCTTAGGGCTGGGATGTGAGTGTTTGAGTGGGGTATAGGAGCCAACTGTTTATTACAGAAAATGGCAAATCATTGCAGATTAATAAGACTTTTTTTTTTAATAATTACTCATCTTTCCTTTGTATAGAACCCTGCATTGGTTTCTATACTAAAACATAAAAAAGATGTTCAAATATTAATGCTTTTTGATCACTACAGACCAGATCCTGACCTAAAGCACTATATTCAAGGAAATTCATTGATCCCAGAGGGACTTCTCATAGCATCTCTGTACAAAAAAGAATGACAGAATCTGGACCTGAAGCAATGTTAACAATGTGTCTTTTTTACAGGAGCAGTGGTCAGTCAGCTTTCAAATCCTAAGATCAAAAATGAAAAGTGTAAATAAAAAATGCATTTGGTCTCAGCAGCAATATCAGCTCTGAAAATACTCTCCTCGTGGGGAAAGAACCACTAAAACCACGCTTCCTTAATTTACTGTGTGATTTCCCACTATAGAAAATGCACATGGCAGTTTAGAAGGGTTAGTGCGTATTAAGACAAACATCTTTACAGCAGTGAATGGGAGATCTTTAGCTATGTAGCTGTGGTAATTTTTAGCTAGCCTTACCAAGGCCCACAAAATATAGAGTTCAAAATGTTGCTTCACACCATGGTATGTGTTCGGGCTGGAACCCCAAACCCAAATGGCACTAACACAATGCACAATGAAAACAAGCCGAATCTTACAAAGACAACTTAGCAGTGAACACACATACTTTTGGAAACGGTAGAAAGCACCCTACAGGAATCTACTGGTCTCTTTGCAGAAGCCATTGTAAAGCTGAACTAATACAGATGTGACTGCATGTCTACCTAACCTTTACTTATTTTCAGAGAAAACATAGAAGTTTTTGGTTAAGTAAATTAGCTCTTTTTGAAAAACTGTGGTCTCTTATTTCCTTAACATACTTAGAAATCTTAGTGAAAGAACAGAATTTTAAATCCTGTTCTTATGCAACGTTTCATTTCATTTTTGTTGTATTTGTTTTCAGAAAATATATCGAACACCAGTTGGAAAACAAGTAGATATTTTTGGACTCTTCCAACAACAGCTGGAAACTGAGTATCTCTACAGATATCGTTTTTGCAAATCAAGAAAAGCAGCTGATTCAAAAATGATTTTTTTTTTTTTACAAATTTTGAAATAACATATTTTCTTTCTTACATTCTATCGAATAGGCGGTTCTGCTAATCTAACCTGCCGAGCTTTCTTTGGATATAGTGGAGATGTCAGTCCTTTAATTTATTGGATGAAAGGAGAGAAGTTTATTGAAGATTTGGATGATAGTCGAGTCTGGGAAAGCGACATCAGGTAAAAAAAAAAAAAAAGGCCTTTTGTTCTCTCAGTCAGTGTCTGTTTTTGATAGTTAATATAGTATTTGTTATCATAAACTAGTTCAAGAGCACTATATCTCTGCTTTTCTTTTTTGCCATATCCTCTCTTTGCCTTTATAACTCTACCTTTTCTGTAGAGAACAGAAAAATGTATGCGTCAGCAAGTTCTGATATTAGAGAAATGTAAAAGCAGAATGGTTGCTCTACTAGCACCATAGTGTAACCAGCTGGAATTTGCATAGTGACTTTTTCAAACTGTAGCAAACAACAATAATAGTCACTAATGCAGTTACTAAGAAGAAATAAAGAAAAATAAATACGTCAAGAAAAACAGCTGAGAAGAACTCTTTTAAAATATGGAATTTTAAATTAATGTTGACATCTTACCTCTCTTTCTAAGTACTTTAATTTCTCTTGTTCAAGGAAGAACTGAGTCTGAAGGCATGTTATTTGGCCTGTGAGGTCCAGGTTTCCTTTTGTGTGGGCTGTTTATATCTACTGAAATATTTGCTTTAGAGGATTTGGCAAGCCACATCATGTACTTTTCTTGCCTCTAAAACTCATTTGGACATTGAGGAGGGGAAAAAAGTGTTTATGGATTTAGAATAGCATGCTTGACCTAGCCTTTAAAACCTTACCCAGTATGAAGTACCTACTTGGATCTGAAGAGATCCTTTTTTCATTTATAAACCCATATTCTGTATATGTGTATATGACTATCTCTGTATATCATGGACAAATCTAAATATGCATTACAGAGACAATTAATTACAGGTGTATTTTCTGCAGTCACTGTCTATAGTAGAGTAAAATGAGTTGTTCACACTTCACCTTTTATACAGGAGTTTACTATCTCGTCAAAAGACAAGTCACTCTCCTTTTCAACTTAAGCTTGAACTTCTTTCACTAAGCAAGGTAATAGAGAAAATTCCTTTACCAAAATCAAGAAGGCTGCATCGACTTTCACGGCCATCTTTGCCATGGCCCATGGCCCCAGATCATGGCAAAATGGAGGCACAAATATGTCACAGCATTATACTTTTAATTTTTTCTACAAAGCTCAAGACCAATATACCATACAAAAACTTCCAGATAGGCTGTGTTTTTCATTTAAAGCCCTTCCAAAGCTTTCCAGCCAAGGACTTAACGTTTTGAAGACTGAGATAAAAAGGTCTTTACAACTTACTTTGTGGAGGAAGGACAAGAAAGACTGTTTTCTACCTCTTTTATCAGGTGTGAAGTGAGGGAGCAGTCTGGAGCAGTTTGCCATTTGCTCTGCTCGGTTTCTAAAACCATTGATGGGCTTGCAAAGAGGGAGAGAAAGCGAAGGGAAGACAGGTGGGGTCTAAAGCAGGAGGTCTTTGCTTTTATCATCTGTATGAATGAGTGACACCAGGTATTCTTTCTACTGATTTATAATTCACAGTGAAATATTACAATACATTTCAAGAAATAATTTTTCAGTGACATGTTGTAGAGTTTCTGAAAGTGGACAAATAACTGTGTTTGGCCTAGACTTGTAGCATCACCCTAAACCTGAAAAGAGCCGCTACCATTTTTCTCTATTCTAATATTTTGAGACTTCACATACAGCTGATCAGGGTCTCTATCAGTGTGTGCAATATATTATGAGTGTGTGATCATCCTGCTTAAAGAAGACAAATTAACTGAAGCTCTCATTAACTTTTACAAAGCCAAACCTCCTCATTAAAAGTAAGGAAGAAAAGAGCATGATATAATTTAATTAAGATTTCATCAAACCATAGCCAAATTTGCAGCCAGAGTGTTGTGAATTGTAAGTAGCATTATTATGTCATGATTATCTAACACTCTGCTGTGATACAAGCAGAACAGTTTATACTTTTTTTTTTTTTTTTATCCTTAGGGTTCTTAAGGAACATCTTGGGGAACAGGAGGTTTCCATCTCATTAATTCTTGACTCAGTGGAAGAAGGAGATCTGGGGAATTACTCATGCTATGTTGAAAACGGAAATGGACGCCGACATGCTAGTATACTTCTACATAAAAGGGGTAAATATGCAGCTTTTCAGCATGCAATGGTGTATTATAGGGGTGGTCAGTTTGCAAAGCTCCCTTCTGAAGAAAGCCTCAGTTCTTATCTTCCTGAGATGTTAATAAGCAATGATTGTTTTTCCCCAGGCATAGGTACAGCTTTCAAAACAAAACAGAAAGGTGGTTGTTAACTGTGGCTATCACGAGGAAAAATACAGTAACACATTTTCATTATGTTTATATAGAAGATGCATTTAATAATTCATGAATGCTAAAACTAATAAAGGCTCAATGGAGAAGGAAGAGCAGGAAGCTGCAGGTAATAAGATCATAGTCATTTACTGTAAGAAAAAAAAATCAATTATTAGAAAAGCTAACAAAAATATATTCTACTTCTATCAGCAGTGCCACATAAACCTCCTGTCAGGGGAGTTCCTGCATAATCTCACCATGAATACTTTCTTTCTAACATGTTTCTTTAATGCCAACATTTTTGAAGTGAAGTATTGTGACATAAACTTCTAAGGACCTTCCTGTTTCCACTCACATCCTGTGATATTAGCCTGCCTAATGGCCACAGTAATCTCCTGCAGAGATAATTATGGAGAGGCAGAGAGGCTCTTGCCAAGCGAGGTTCCCAGATCCACTTTGTTCACTTTCTCTCCTAGAGGGTGTTCCACCTTTACCAGCTTGGTGCTCCCCGCGGTCATACAATAGCCCACTAGCTTCAGAGAGGAATGAATAATCAAGACCAGGGTGCATACTTATACTTTGCTGTCATTATTATGGGTCTCTCTCTCTTTCTCTCTCTCCTTTTTTTTATTTTATTTTTTATTTTTTAGACTATTCGTAAGGATGAGCAAACCAGATTCATACTGTGGTTTTAACTACTTGTGGCATCTCAATTTTTATCAGAGCAGCAATGCCTTCTCTAGTTCTAGCCTTGCAGCGTGCAAAACCTAAGTTTAAAAGGGAGCCATAAATCAGGCTAGTTTGTATCATTCATTTAGATGTTTTTCATGGACTTCCAATTAATAGAATTTCTTCTTAACTATTTTTTCTTCTTAAGAGATACAGATGTTCTCCTTAGCCCAGCATTTGCCATATATTCTTGAATGTACTGAGATAGGAAAATAACTCATTAAGTAGTTGAGCTGTAGCAATTTACCAGCTGGTAGCTATGTACCCCTAATTCAGAGACATTTGAACCCAGAACAAGAATTTAACCCAACTCTCAAATCCAATAGGTTATCTTTAATAAGGAAATTAGTACATGGAGCACTGAGTATAAAGAATGTTAAGGCTTAAATTATTTTAAAACCAAAAATTAATCGATTCACTTCAATTCATTCATATGTTCATGATGAGTCCTTATTTTCCCTTCCACACCAGCAATAGCACAGAAACTGACACAACACGTAACTCTCTTCTGTTTTGTGACCATCAGCTTTTTAGTCTCACAATATGCATGCATAAATTCTTGCAAGGATCTACTTTCCTTGCTTCCTTTCTCAGAGAAATCAGTATGTCAAATAGGCCACAGTATGTGGCCTCATGATGACATGCCTAAGAGGAAGTGATCTCAATATTTTATTGTCATTATAAATAGTTAAAAGTAAAAAATAGGAAACAGTTTCCCCAAATACTTTTTTCCTCATTAAGTAAGGCTGAATCTGAAATTGTGATTTGGAAATAAAATCTGTTGTGCCCTCAAAAAGCAAAAGGTACCTGTTACAAGCCTTCTGCATACTTTGCATGTTGACAACTGTTTCAGTGAAATGATAAATTAACCATGACAGATAAAAATTGTAGCTAGTCTCTCAGGTCTCCTAGGAAGAAAAGCTTTGCACTGCTTGCTTAGTCTCATGTATATTACCATGACAACATTTCATTGTAGGTTTTCTTGTTTAGATCCACATTTAGTCTCTGCTAGAAATGAGTTAGCTGCTTATTAATTTCTGATTATTTGCTCACTTAGAACAATCAAAACCTAACAATTAGGTACATTTGCTTCCTGAATATGGAGACATTTGCAGAGATATTAGTTTTGGTTGGTTTTCTAGTTACTGTTCTCTTTTCAGCAGTGCAAAGCAAACAGAAATGCTGAATCTAGAATGTTTACTGAATATCTAAAAGTGAATTTATAATCCTTCTTAAACTCTGTACATAGCACGTTATCGCTAAAATCGAAGAGGACAAGAAAGCAGAAAGCTCTGTTACTGAACGAAGAGTATACCTGGAAAACAAAAGTATTTAGGGCTAAATGCTACAGTGGAGGTTCAGGCACAAAATGTAAGCCCTCCAAGCACCTTTGTGACTGTTGCTTTGCCCTGGTCAATATATTGTCTGTAAACTTAGATGTTCACTGGGACCTTTTGGATATGCCCATGGTTACATTGGCCCTGAGAAGGACAAGATGTTTGGAGCCTAATGCGCCAGCAAAGACCTATGTGTTTCTCCCTTATTTTTCATGACAGGTCAAAGCAGCAAGGATCCGCTTACCTCACAGAAAGTACAAGCAGGATGTGATTGTGGTCCCCTCCGTAAAACCAGTGCTTAGAACTGGGCAGAAGTAGCTCCTGCTTTTTCCCTGATTTGGCACTCAAAATGACACCTGGAACCTCCCACTTTCTGAGGGAAAGTTCAGGGTAAGAGCAGGATGCAACTTCCTTTCACTCCAAGAGCAAGAAAAAGCTGACCTAGTTTCAGCCTCTGACACTGGAGGAAGGTTCGGGTCTCTGGCACCTCCCTCTAGTCCAGATACAAGCAATTTGTGTCACTGGGAGTTTAGCCTCTCTTTTCTCCTCAGCTTCTTTTACTTTCTGATTGCTAATGGAGAAAAAAACCTATGATATATTTTTCTTGTGCAGCCTGATAACAATTTTTAGACATCTAACTTTCCTCACACACTATGTGTCGGGGCCAGAGGAAGCAGAGCATTTTAAAAAAGACAATGCCAACGCTGTTTCTTCCTCTGCTCCATTCCTACAAAACTTACTCAGAAATAAACCCAGGACAAGAGGGATCAGAACCCAGGAGGTTTAACTTTCTTTCCCTTCTTCCAAATGTGAATCAAATATCTTTATATCTTTCTCTCACCTTTGCTGTGATCAAGTTGCTTTCTCTTTTTTTTTTTTTGGGGGGGGGAGGGAATACTTGTTATAATCTAAGGCTGATTTTTTTTTTTTTTTACTTAGTGATGATAGCTATCTGCAGCAGTTGGATAGCTATTTGTTAGCGGTTAGTTAGAGATCATCTGCAGCAGTTAGAAGCAGATCTTCGACTAGATAGAGGAACTGTCTAGAAACTAATTTTGAGTGGTACAGACGGCAGCTAAGTACAAATTTATTAATGGCAGACAACATATTGCAGATCGTATAATAGCTGGATCATGCACTACATTTTTACATTTTTTTTCCTATGGGCTTTTAATTCAAGAAGATTAGCCCGTAGTTTATCAACAGAATACCTAACAAAAAGATAATGTATAAGGAGAAGGAAGGTTTCTCTACAATATTCTCTTGAAAAGTATGACTTTCATGCTGGATCGATCCCTTGTGGTCTCATTAAATCATATATTAAGTTGGAATTACAGATTACAGTTTAATTATATGGTCATTTTTGTGGAAATTCTTGTCAGTATGTTTTAACCTAAAGGAAAACGCTAAAGCAAAAATAATCTCTAATTTTATCCTATCATGAGATTTTCTACCTCATTTATATTATTTTAAAAGCTAAAGAGTGTACCTACTTTTTTCATGGGACATCCACCGGAACTAAGAGCAGGTAATACTCTCTGTGCAGTTTTTTCAGTCTCTCACTTTTTCTTCCCATTTTTCTCCTGCTGTCTAATTTCCTTTCTGTGTCTCTTTTATATTTTAGTTTTGTTCTACTCTGTCATACACAATCTCGGTGGGTGACTATCTGGCTTGTTGACTCCAAACTATGTAGCTGAGGGCTGGCTGAATAACTTCTTTGATCTCATAAGCATTTTCAGTCAGTAGAATGTTACTCCTCACAGTGGTAGCGAGGAGTGACAATTAGGACCTGAAACAGAAAAGAAATAGCGGTTCTCTTCTAACCTCTGCAAAGAAATGGCAAGGTGTCACAGTCCCGTTTGCCATACTGCTTTGTGAAGCTTCTGAATTTTCTGAATGGGAGCTCACCATGTGAGATATGAGAGCAATGGGTCTTACTCTAAAAATTCTGTTAATTCTTCCTAGTTACTTGAATAGTTCCATAAAACTCTAGATCTCAATGGAAGCAAAACTGTTGCAAAACTCTGACCCACTTAGTTAAGACATTAAACACATACATCTTCCAGCTTACATCATGTTTGTCATTCATGCTGCACCTAAGAAAAAGCTTTTCCAAGTACCTCTCCAGGTTTTATAATCAGAATTTGAATTGATTTGGTTTGATGTGAATTGATTTTTTTTTCTCCTTTTCCCCCCTATGGCCGTTGAAGCAGTCCAGAGGTTCTTAGTATGCTAGACAATTCAAGATTTAATCATGCAAGAAGTTCATGGTATACAGCCGAAAGTGTAAAAATCTCTTCTTACCTCAAGCCTGATAAAAAATGACTGTCCTTTTTACACTCAGTCTCATTTAAAGTCAGCAGATTAGTAGATTAATAGAGACTGGGGCCTCACAGAAACTCTTCATAAGGCTGTTCTGTTCATCAGTAAGGCTTTTCTCATCAGAAAACTGGAGTAAGACATCGCTAGTGAAAAGATTAGTCAGATCACTTAGCTTGTGCCTAAATCTAGATTTCCCCTGAGAGTGTGCCACACAAATTGTTTAACAGACCCATTTTTAAAACAGCTTTTGTACCACTTTTATGATAGTTCTTCTCTTTATATAATGTCTATGTCAGTTCAGTTCTAACCTTGACTGGCAAAGAAGAAAATATTTTAAAATAAAATGTCACAAATTGTTCTTATAACCTATGCAGAGCTAAGTTAGTCTTTAATGCTATCCTTAGAAAAAAATGTAAACAGTGTATTTTATAATCTTAC